TCAACGCTTATGTGAGTGCGGCGTAAAACTATACTCACTCACTCGCTCACTCAACGCGTACGACATGGGCGTGCTCGTCCTAGATTTGGGACTGGCAATGGCCACCAAGGATATGCTCATCAAGCAAGGGATCATTCCGGAAAACATTTTAAAGTAAGAGCCATTATATATACAATATAAATGGCCACGATTGTCTTGATGGTCGGTGGGGCTTTAGTCAACGCCCTAGCCTCTTGGGGTAGCAATTACCTTTTTTCTTATCTACGAGATCCCAATGCTGCTGAAATAGAAGTGGAACGGAAACGTCATGATTTAGCCATCGAGAAATTACAAGCCAAACAAGCCGAATACACGAAAAAACACATGCAGAGAATAGATTTTATCCACAACCAACTCCAATGAGAAGGTCACGCCATGCGAACGTTTAAGGACGTGGACGAAGCCATGCATGTGTATTATCTCGTCATCGGCAAACCACTCTCGCACCTCTCGGCAACGAACCCACACTCTCACATCATTAGCGGCCTTCCCCGGAAAAGAAAGACCGTGAGTTGACCTTCGTGACATTAGGTTAGCCTCGACCGTGTTGATCATCAATCAATTAGACTAACATATAACTAAGTGCATATAGCGAAGATGAGACCGCTCTGTATCATTGCAAATACGTGCTTCTGGGAAAAACCGAGACTTGCGGCAAGAAATGCAAGACCGACTATTGCGGGATACACATGATGTCTATCAGAAAGGGTTTCGTGAACTACATGTGTTCTATATGCGGTATCGGAGTGAAATGTCATTATGGTTTGTGCAAAGTCCATGGAGCGGACGTGATCTGAAACCAACTTATTTATCAACCAACTAAGAAAAAGAGTATTTCAAACGAATAAACTTTTTAAACAAAATAAAATCGGGGAATGAACCCCCAATAAACCTATCAACACAAACTGCCGGAGGAAACCTCACTAAGGAGGGGCAGCCTGTAATGTGGCTAAGGTATCTAGGCGTCACAGGTATGGATATCTTGCTGGGAACAGTCTGACAGATGTAACCAAGAGTAATATTAAGCTTACCTATGCCATGGTGGATGTGCAACCTCCCTCCTATGGGTCCTCCGGCCACATGCAATTAGTGCCATTGCATCATCCATTGCCTCATGGAAGACAGTATCATTGAACAGGTCTTGTCAGCTTGTCAGTGGGCATTGTCAAACACATTTACCACATTTTATCTGAGAGATGGAGCCCAAGACTTGTTAGAGTCCATAGTTGTTGACAAGTCTATCCTTACCACCTAGATTTTCTCTTGTGAGGAAACGGATTGTGGGAGCAGGGACTTCTCCATGATTTGGAGAATATGCTTGCCAACCATGCCTTACATGTTTGGTTTTCAAGGGGAGATGTAAGGAAATGGAATAAAATAGTCATCACCGAGGGTGAGACCACATTAGGTTTGGACCATAGGTTGATTGTTGTGATCCTCGTTTGCTGCAGAGCCTCAAATGGCAGTTAAGGGCTAAACTTAGAAGGTATTCATATCCAATCAGGGATAACACTGGTCTTCATGGAGTGGATGAGATACAGAGAGGATATGGCATAATCATGACGTCATCCAAAGTACTGTTAACCTGAAAAGAAGTCATCAGTGACATCCTTAACTCATTAAGTCCGAGATCCGCACATATTGAGCAAATTAATCAACTCCTCACAGCAAGTGACGTGTTTATGGGGCAGGTAATTGGCAGTTTCTCACAGCGAAAGCCACATATATTCGTCAACAGAAAGCACCTCTTGTTCAGCGAGAGACGCGCATGTGTGTCGTACTTCTAAAAATCGCAATGTACCTATTATTTCAACCGATTTAGTAGTACTGAGCAAATATTAGCTTTTCTTACGAGGAAATGCTACCTTTAGTGTCAATCAGAAGAAGTATTTAAAGCATTTTGATAGCAATTGCTAATCATTATCATAGGCTTGTACAGCGTTTGGCAAATGAACACATGTCGGCGAGAAAGGGGATTATATGACGTTTTTACAGAGGTAAGTGTCTGGTACTCTTCATTGGGAATGGATTCTAAAATACCTCTGTATGCACATTGATTGAATTAGATGTAATGGTTTCGAGGTTACTGAAGTTAATATTTTCTTCAACTTCGTAATAAATAGGAAACAATATACGAAATTTCAAGGACATACTAAGAATTCAAACGCAATAGAATAGTTTGAATTTACTTTTTAGGCATCATTACGTTGTCATGTTTCATATGAAACATAATGTATAAACACAAATAATTATATATCCAAGCTCGAATAGATTAGACATAATTTAACTTACTAATTTGAAGCTTACTGAATTGTAAATAGTTATTTTCCATAATCTAAAGTTGATAATGTTACCTAATTGAATATAAAGTGATAAGTCGCGCATTTGCATCGAATTATATGCATGTCAATGTTATTACAACAATGAAATCTTTTACTACGTTTGTTACAAAACACAGTAAGTTGGTAGTTCAAAAAACTCTCACACCTAAACAGGAGGAATATTATAAGTTATTACATGTAAACCATACAAAGGTATTTCAAGCATTTATGTTCAAGCTGTTAAAGTGTCATGTTGATTTGAATTGTCAGTTTTCTGTGCAATTTACATGAGCATTTCTAAAACATTTCTATTTGATCTCTGTAATTATCAAATCCGGTGTAATTATCAAGTGTATCAATGAACTCAGTCTCTATTGATCCATCGTCAATAAAAACTGGATAGTATACCAGTTACGGTATCGATACACATGCGTATAATCAATCATATTACAGTAATGAGATGACTGAACACCTCTTCCGACCTTGAGATAACAGCCTCCGGTAGAATGCATATGTAGTTCCGTCCTTGTTGAAAGGCTTGTCCCGTGACAAGTGTAAAATAAACAGATGCGCTGTTATATCTTTGGACAACTTGCTTTATGGAGTCATGCCCCCCTCTCTTTAATGTTTATGCATGCATGCACATCTGTAATCTTATGAAACTCGTTTGCATTCAGTATAAATATAGGCACGCCCACCTTCAACTGCAAGTTTATACACTATAATAATTCAGTATAGTGTCATTTCGTGAATTCTGTAATGCGTGTACCCTAGTTTGGATATTCATTCGTATCAAGGTAAAGATTATATTTACATGTACAGGAAACCATTATGTTTTATGTAGTAGTTGTATGCATAAAATGTATATGAAAATAAATACTATCTTTACTCAATGAGGACAAATAAACTCGCCAAAGTGTCTATCTACTCCTATTTGTCTTATGTGTATATTTCATACATCGTTACCAGTGTGTATGTTTACAAGACACAAACTGTTACATGATTGCTTGAGTTGATAAAACTGAAACCCAGCATATCGACTGGTCAAGGATATAGCCAATAATCAATCTCTATCCAAGCTGTTGAGTTACCAAACGTGCTCTTCAGAAATTTCGCCACGCCCCATCACCTGTCCCTTCCTCTGTGACAGGTATCTCATGATACGATTGGTCACAGATAACATATGACCAGCCACTATATAGAACAGTTGAGATATCGAATGTTCTATTTGGGAAATTTGATGACGCCCTATCACGTGACTCTTTGTTTTATGTCTATACAAGGAATCTGTAGTATACATTTTTTATATGTATGTTTATATGGTCACGCATGTTTTCTGCATTAAATCTAGATGAAACAAAGTGCCAAGCTATGAATGTGCTCTATTTTAGTCACAGACCAGTGTAATAGTACTTTCATTAAAATAATTTGTATACACTAGAAATGTATTGGCAAAAATGCTATTTTCGTCGAAGATTATAAAGTATGTAAGTAAATTCTTCTTTACAGTATGTCATTGTCATAGATGTTTTCTAAAATTAAACCTCACACAATGATATGAGAGAGAGAATTTGTTTATGCGTGTCTCATCTCTTACATACAAAGAATACATGCATATTGTGATAAAATATAAGTGTACAAGCGCCAAAGGTCTACAAGAGAAACTTGCAATCAAATTACATAAAACTTTGCATTACACGATATGTATTCACACCTGCTTTCTTTCAACATATATCTTTACGACACAATCAAACAATCAGGACTTGTTTGTACGACTAGACAGTTTCCTGTCTTCCCCGAAACCTGCCAGGGAAATCAGGTGTGATTAGTACTAATTAGTGTCGGCACAGCGATTGGGCAATCAGGGAGGGGTTCCAGGTGTTGTGTAGTGAGGTAGCTCTCGGGCTTAATGAGTTAATGGTACTGTTAGCAGAAGTAATGTCATCAGAACTCATAGTGTCATCATCTGAAGTGTCATTAACCAAGAGCTGCATCATCGTCCACCAAATCATTAAGTGCAGCATTTGTGAGATCAGTCAGTGCGGAATTTGGCAATCAAGTGTTTGAGGGATGTATTCATGAGATTTCGGAATTATTATCAACAATGGTACATGGTTAAACTTGTATGAACATACCCAGCCATGACAGGATGCTATCTAGACTAAGGCTTAGTCTCAGAACATATATAATTTTGCCCATTTATGTTGAAAAGGAGCCCTAGGGAGACCAGAGATTCAGAACCTGAGGAAATCTAGACTTGCTTTATTTAGGGCTTTAGCACTGCAGAGAGGGCTTGGCAGTAGGGAAATTAATGTGGTTCAGGGACTGTGAGACAGACTAGATGCTATCATGCTGGCTGTATTGAAAATGTCATTTTTGACTATGACTTTAAAATTTTTCATCTCTCACATTAAGCACTTTCTGTTGTTTTCATTATCATTATTAATTTGATATGCAAAAAGTATGTAGTATGATTCGGGCCACTTTCTGCTATTTTATGTAGCTATGACCTTTGTCTGATGAGTAACCCTTTACTGTATTTTCAGCATGGATGCTGAAATGCAGGAGTGATCTCAGCTATGATTTTGTTCATTATACACGTAATATCAGAGCCTTATGGTGCTGGTGTTGTTTCCTCAGGTACTCCTCAACTAGATGAAACAGTGCCCAAGCAACTCAAGTACGCTTCCAGGCAGGGTGGTGATGTGAATGTGTCTGTGTCAGTCCTGGCCTACCCCCTTCCTACATTCACCTGGAGTAGATCCATCAGCACCAGCCAGGACCTCACTGGTTCCTCCAGCCCTGTCTCAGACATCTCAGTCACTGCCAGACTACACCTTACTAACCTCCAGCAGCAGGACTTTGGGGACTATAATCTTACAGTTGACAATGGTGTGGGCGGGTCAGTGACATACACAGTCAGCATTGTGCCAACAGGTGAGAGTTGATATAAAAAGTACATCATGTAATTGTCTAGCTATACTCTAAGACTACACCTTACTAACCTCCAACAGCAGGACCTTGGGGATAACAGACTTACCGTGGATAATGGTGTAGGTGGGCTAGGGGCATGGACACTCAGCATTGTATCTGAAGGTAAGTGTCACTCACTGTAGACAATGGTGGAGGTAAGACAGTCAGTATAGTGGCTTAAACTGACTGTGGGTTTAGCTGACATGACTGTCACTGTGTATCTGTACAGAATTTGGAAAAGTATGAAATATGCAGCAACCTGGGGCCCCTTCGCTCACAATGGCAAGCGCCAGTGGGCGGCACTCATACATGCTAAGACGGATCAATTGTCAGGTCGGTGCTCAACTTATCCTTGTTTGCCAGTAATAGCCTGATATTATTGCTATATCGGTTTTAATTTTGATAGTTGTATTTTGTTTTTATTCATATCACAGATTCATTCCACTTCCTATATTTCTACAGTGAAGTTCTCCGAGACAAATAACATGCACTAGTTCACACTTAGGGAGTGTGTGGGAAATATGCTTCACTTAGACAATCTATAAAATGCCTAGATATTTCAGTTATTTTATAAATTCACTTCAAGACAGATCATAGACTTTTTTATGCAGTTCAAATTGCACAAAAAATTAATAATAAATTAATTATGCTAGGATTATACGGAAAAAATACAAAACATACATGACTTCGATTTCTTTCAGTCCTAACATTTTTTACCACTGACAGATGAAGTTACCGGTAAACTTCAAAATGGTTTAATTTTTTATCCCCCGCAACACGTTTTGCAGGGGGTATTAATTTGGACTCTGTCCGTCTGTCCATCCGTGCACAGTTATCTTTTCCGAAGCATAACTCTAAAACCGTTCAATATTTCTTCACCAAACTTGGCACATAGATAGATCTGGTGGTGTACTGGTGCCTTTTGGTGTTTTGGAATTCTGAATAAAACATATTTGGCGTTTCCATGGCAACAAGTTCGACTTAGAATGAAATTGGTGGTAGTGCTCTTTTCCGGAGCTGAACTCTAAAACAGTTCACTATTTCTTCACCAAACTAGGCACATAGATAGATCTGGTGGTGTACTGGTGCCTTTTGGTAGTTTTGGAATTCTGAATAAAATATTTTTGGCTTTTCCTTGGCAACAAATTTGACTTAGCCTGAAATTGGTGGTAGTGCTCTTTTCCGGAGCTGAACTCTAAAACCGTAAAATGTTTCTTCACCAAACTTGGCACATATATAGATCTGTTGGTGTACTGGTGCCTTTTGTTAGTTTTGGATTTCTGAATAAAATATTTTTGGCATTTCCATGGCAACAAGTTTGACATAGACTGAAATTGGTGATAGTGCTCCTTTCTGGAGCAGAACTTTCAAAACCTTTCAATACTCTCCTTCCACTTTTCTATATACACACCTAAATATTTGACATAATCATGAAGAGTATTTTGCCATTGCAGGGGATATTGATGACTTTGTCTTCTTGTTATCATGATAATGAAGATGGAAACATTAATGGGTACAAAAGAAGACTACATTATCTAATTAATACCAAGATGAAACTGTATTTCAACCTTGTTGATCAACGTAAGGATACCACAGGCCCTCGTGTCTTTGCGAGGATTAAGTATTTTATAAATTATATACAAATTTTGAGATGACCCCCTACTCGAAATGCTTCACAGTTTAATACATTATGACAAGGCCGGACTCAATTTTGACCCTCAACTAAACGATCTTGACACAAATGGCTGACGATATATCCGCACAAAACGGGGGTGTGATCGAAGCAAGCCCTCTGGTTGGTTGATGCATGTTAAAGAGACATTTACAAATGATGCTTTCTTTTGAGACGCTATTGCCGGAAAAAAAAAATCTGACATTTCTTCCAAATCAAGCAGTCGATGAAAGTAAAAATTCCCGAGAATTTATACAGAATGTGGAGATTTAGCAGCGTTGACCAACCAGAGGGCTTGCTTCGACCACACCCCCGTTTTGTGCGGATATATCGTCAGCCATTTGTCTCAAGATCGTTTAGTTGAGTGTAAAATTCGGGTTTCAATCGACTTGCAGAAATAACAACAAAGAACTGGTAGGTGTCATGAGCGGTGCTCAATAGGCCAATCATCCATGATTATGTTTACATAAAGTTTTAATCGATTGCATGCGATGGTAGCATAGCGATCGGCAAAGCAGTCAGCTTGGGTGCACAGAAGTGTCTGGTCTTGTCATAATGTATTGTACTGTGAAGCATTTCGAGTCGGGGGTCATCTCAAAAGCAATATTGTTTTAATCATTAATCCTCGCAAAGACACGAGGGCCTGTGCCTCATACTACCAACTGGGCTTGCGGGGTGGTGTAGCAGAGATCGCTACCTTGTCAAGAATTCTGGGATATCATCCAAGTAGTCTAGGGAGAAAAACAATAAAAAGGTAACAACCAGCCCATGGAAATTGCTCTGCATCAGAGTCCCTTTAAATCTAAGCATCATTTGCCATGTTTGCAAATTTCAAATTCAGGAATATGCAGTTTTTGTCTGATTGAGCAGAAGTCGTGAAGTTGGCTGGCATGAAGGAGGGTGATGATATCAGAAAAAATCTATAATGTGACTGCTACCTGAAAACCTTTTCAACCTTATGTAAACCTAAATAGAAATGTGATTATAATGTTTGATGATTATATTTTAGTGCTTATTTGCAATAAACTATCAGTTGGTTCTTTATACTAATATCCATTAGATCCGGGTTAGAATTGATCTTCACTAACCCATGCTTGTCGTAACGGGATCGGGTGGTCAGGCTCACTGACTTGGTTGACACGTCTTCGGTTCCAAAGTGCATAGATCGATGCTCATGCTGTTCATCACTGGATTGTCTGGCCCAGATTCGATTATTTACTGACCGCTGCCATATAGCTGGAATAATGCTGAGAGCAGCGTAAAACTGAACTCACTCACTCCCTCCTTTATACCAATGGTTTTAACAGAACTGTATACATGCAAATCTTAAATCTAAAGTCAATTTTCTGCAGGACCACCAAACACCCCAACAAACGTCAGTGTCTCCCATGAAGGCCCCTTCACTCTACATGTTTCCTGGAAGGAGGAGTTCAATGGCGGAGCTACTCAGACATTCACTGTAGAGTACAGTACAGACAAGAAGGACTGGAAGATAGCAGGAAGTCATATGGAGACGGGAAGTGAGAATTTTATGACATCACCCATCAATGACCTCAACTCTGACAAACTGTACTATGTGAGGATTATCGCCAGGAACAAGTTTGGAAACAGCAGCTACACTGAACATGTGACTGGACTCACGGAGAAGAAAGTTATACGTAAGCTTAGCAAAGTTTTCTCTGTAATGAAAATGGTTCTTCTCTCTTACATGTAGCTTAAAAGAGTTAAGTACATATGTCACATCAGTGAGGGTCATGGAAAGTTCAAAATAGAAAGGCATGATTTAACTGAAACATGTGGCAACCTGAAGGGAGCGATAGGGAAGCATAGTTAATTTTTGTATGTATTTTGAATTTGGTAATTTTCCAGAAGTGGTAGGGGGAGCTGAACTATGGGGTGGTTTGGTTGGTATTTGTATTTTGAGTTTATAAATGTGTTTTGGTTGTTCTTTTTGTATTAGTTTGTGGGATTATGTGAGACCAAGAATGCCAGGTTTTTTTTAGAAATATACCAAAAGCTTTGATGGTCTATTTAGTGGACCTACGAGTGTTTGTAGTGTTAGGTGTGTGTTAGTGTCCAGGGAACCCTGGAGCACCATTCTGTGTTGTTGGTAGTGTATGCAGTGTGGTAGGACAGGTTTCTGTTTTGTCGCAGTGTACACATTTGTGAGTTTGGTGTTTTATATTTCATGTAGATGGGAATTCAATTTTGTATGACCTGTTAATAATTTGGTTATCTCACATGCAAAATTTTTAGATTTATGATAGAGTTTTTAGGTTTTTTGAGGGACAGTGGAATAGATTTTGTTATTTTAGTTTAGAATTTGAATATTGGTACTTACTTTGCCTCCCTTGGAAGATTTGTATTCCCCCAGCATGTAATTCATGGGGACATAGTCAATACCTTGTGTGTCTGTCTATCTGTTGTCCAACCTTCCTTCCATCCATAATCATTTTGTTTCCATAGCATAACTAAAAAAAACTGCTCACTATCAACAAAACTTCGCAGATGTATCAAATAGATCCTGAAGTGGTGCTTTTTGCTTTTTGTAGATTTTTATTTTCCTTGATTTTCATGGAAACCAAGGACAGAAGTAGTGCCTTTTAATATTCAGGAATTTTAAGAAAATCAATTTGCTTCCTGTTTCCATGGCAACAGGTTTGACTTTGACTCAGGGCCATATCTCCTGTGTGTTTGTCCGGACCATATCTCAAAAGATTAATAAGTATTCTTTCATGAAACTGCTCAAGCAAAAACCAGGTTGTCAATTGCTGCTTTTTGCTATTAGAGATTTTTAAAATTTGTATTATTTCCTTTGATATTTGTGTGTACCCGACATTGAAATACAAACGTACAAATCCTAATTCCATATTATTGTTTTGATAGCACAGTCACTATCTTTCCTCATTGTTTGGTTGATATTTTGGGTATTTTGTTAGATCCAGTCAGCTATGATCTTATCTGTATAGAAATAAAAAATAAAAATCCCACAAGTACATAGATGGTGGAATATGTGCGTAACTGCTTGAGGACCTTTAGTTGCTCAGGCTTTATTGGTATATTTTTCCAATGGTATATGTTAATAATGTAATTGGTTTTTGTTTTGTTTTTGTTATTTGGATACCATTAGTTTCTAGGTTAGGCATAATTATATTTAACTCTTTGTGGTTTATGTCCTCTTTAACATATATGACCAGGCCTCATCTGGCTCTACCAGGACAAGATTTGACTTGGTCTAGACTTACAGTTTTAAAATGGGGTAGGGTGAATTTTGATTTGGTGGAGAAGTGAGTTTCTTGAACGCATATGATGTGAGAGCTATTTATTCCCAGTTTAGTTTCAAGTGACCCATGAAGATCCGGGGTAGAATAGGTCTTCAGCTACCCATGCTTGCCTCAACAGTCGACTATGCTTGTCGTAAGAGGCGACTAAAAGGATGGGGTGGTCAGGCTCGCTGACTTGGTTGACACATGTCATCGGTTCCCAATTGCGAAGATCGATGCTCATGCTGTTGATAACTGGATGGTCTGGTCCAGACTCAATTATTTACAGACCGCTGCCATATAGCTGGAATATTGCTGAGTGCTAAGTAAAACTAAACTCACTCACTCACTTAGTTTCAAGTTAGTGGCCATTGGGGCCTAAATCATTTGCATTCCATGTAAAATATGGAGCCTTGCCATTAACTGAGTACAGATAAGATTTAGGATATATTTAATTATGAGAGCATAGGTGGATCTTACATAAGCAAAATTTAAGAAATCTGAAATTAACGAATTAATCTGCATACAAAAATACAATCAATTAAGACACACGTACAAATCTATCTTCACATATTGATCCAAGGATGTGGTGCAGTTGCTAGTTCTACTACCGTTATGTCCAGAAAAATCTCACATCCAATGCACATGCCATTTCATCTCTTCAATATATCAATAAACAATCTAAATATTAGCAATACATAATATTTTCAGTTTCTCTTTCTTGCTTTCATATTATGAATATGTCAAATAAACATCCCTTCTCAGTAGAAATTCTCAAATAACAAAATGATCTTGCTTCTGGCAAATATGACATTTAGTGGAGCGGCTAAGATCAATTTTTCATAAGAATTGTGCATTTGATGATAAAAGCACCAAAATCGGTCACCATATAAAAGGCACCTCAAATTTTGTATTTTGTGCGCATGCGCAGTACATAAACTATGACATACTATTTTCAGCGTTTCTCCTTCGATCTTTAGTATTGTCATTCATTACAAACCTAAAATTTTCATAAATAGTTATTTACATGTTCATGAAAAGACAAAAATAGATAATTTTAGAATAATACAAAACATTTTGAAACAATTAACACTCCCTCTTCCCAAAATGGCGGCTTGCAGACAGCTTTTTGGACTATTGAACTCTTTGAGAAAATGTGTGCATGCAGCACAATAAAAAAGTCTTGGATATGTTTAACAATCAAAATCTATGTGATTATTCCCCAACTTCATGGCTCAAGGGCAAACAAGGGAGATACTTCAGATTGTCTTTCACAAGGGAGCAGTCATATTTTCCTGTGCAAATCATACTTAATTGGTTTTATTGTTTAATGGTAAATATCAATTGAATAAGTGCAAACACTTATCCTGACTCATACTGATTGCTTATCTGATCTCATTTGCGAATAGTAGTGGAAAATCAAGTGCTTGTGTTCCCCTTCAATAGAAAAAAACTCATCTCACCCCAACACATTCCAAGCTGCATGTGTGCAGCGGATGCACTTGACCAAGCCTGTGACTCTTCACACTCTCATATTAGTGCCAACAGGGTTAGAATCGTATCATGAAGGACCAACATCAATCTACGATGATAAATACAAGCTAACTTTGAGTGCAGACGGGTTACCCATAGCTTCCCCATCGAAGGATCGTCCTCCTTCACCTTACCACCAACTGGAGCAACTTTGCAAGTCATCAAGAACCAAACTACCAGAATGCAGGGTCTTCCCGGCTTGCTCAGCTTGATACTATTATCAGACGAGTCCTCCTGGGCCTCACCATGTCCAGATCCATCAACAAGGCAATGATATCACACTTCAAAGATCCACAGTCCGACAAAGAACGTATGCTTTTGTCCATGGTCATCCAGGAGAAGTACCAGGAGTCTGTCTCCGACCAGATCTGCTCAGCATCGGCGGGACTCACCTTGCTACGTAGACAAGGAAGTATTGGCCAAAGTGGGACCTTCTGGAAGACCCATTCATCACACAAATCTTAAGGAATAGATATACCATCCAGTGAACACTCTATCTTCCACAGATGCATTATGCAGAAACCCTACAACCCAAGCTCACAGATGCGATGGAGTCACTTCTATCCAAAGAAGCAATAAACCTCAAGAGGCACTAGACCCAGGGTTCTGCTCCCCAATTTTCTTGGTTCCCAATAACAATTTATCAGAAAATTCCGGACTAATATAAAGGTAAAAAATGATTATTTATTGAACACAGAGAAGTTCTTAATTCTCCACCTTTCCAACAACTTTCTGGCAAGAATAGATTTTAGGGATGCATATCTGCATATGCCGATCCACCCAGGGTCCAGGAAGTATCTACGATTCCTGTTCAACCATCAAAAATACCAGTGGAGGGTTCTTCAGTTTAGCATTTTCATGGCCCGTGGTTATTCTCACGGGTAACCAAGCCCATCGTGGGCTTACCGCACAACAGGGCAAATAGATGCACCTTCAGCCGAAACAATGGCATTAAAGCACTTCAACAAGTCATTATACCCAAACGTCAGTTGAATTTTACCCTATGATTGCTACAACCCATCCAGAGGTTTCTAGCCTCACTCCTGGACCAGCAGGACTTCAGACCACATCACCTACTAGAGTATCTCCAATGGTGGACGATGAAATCAAAGGTCTGCGCAGGGACCTTCTGAGTGAGCCAAGCTTCAACCTGCATCTGTATGTAGATACGTCTGTACAGGGTTGGGGAGCACACCTCGACACAGATGTTAACTCGGGGCTGTTTTCTCCAGAGAGAAGCTACTTCACATCAATCATCGAGGTTAGGCAGTTATCCGAGCCATTGATCCCTGGGCCCCTCGACTGTCCATTCAGTCATTGATGACCAGGACAGCCAACTCATCCAGCTAACAGGCAATCTGGTTCTAAAACTTCCTGATTGGTCGAAACTTCTCACTTATCCTCACATGAAGCAGACGCATCAAAACCCGAGTGTCGTCGATCTGCACGCATGGAGAATATCAAGAAGAACTTGACCAGGCGTAGCTATTCTAGCAAGGCTCCCTGTCTCTATGTAGATCTACCAGAGGCCTGCTTGATGACACGTAGAAGAGTCTTGACCAATTTGCCAGAAGTAAAGGGATTCCAGCAGATATACAACCTCAGAACCTCAAAGAATCTCAAGACTGGGCTCAATCTTAGCACCAATCAGCTCTGTCATCAGCCTCACCAGATTTGATAAAGGTCCCAATGCGTCAGTGCATCCTTCAGTGGTCTCCGTTTGGATTTTATTGCCAAAAAATTAGCCTGACCGACAGTTTCACATCCCACCATTATCTTCAATACTTGGCAATGAAGATAAGGAAGACTTATCACTGCGTCTGGTCAGAGTCCTGCGCATCTATCTACATAGAACAAGCGCCAGACGTCAGAAGTTAAGATGACTCTTCATCCCGCTCATGAGAGATCTCACAGCAAAAGTATCCAAAACAACTATATCCTTCTGGATGAGATCGGTGATACTTCGTATATACAGAGATGTAAGCTTAGAACCTACATCAGCTACCAACCCACACGAAGTAAGAGCTGGCATTTGTTCCTTCCGTACCATCATGGCAGGATGCTTTGGGAATATTTTTCTTTTTTATGTTCAATCATTTGTATTTTAGATTATTTGTGAAGAAAAACTCAATTTATGCCATCCCATCAACACATGCAGCTGTTGTTCAGCATGTCAAAAGGGCAGATTACCAGGCCGGTCACATTTGGGGTCAGTCATTCTTCCACAGCCTGAAGTCCCATCTCCAACTGAATGGGGCTGGATACAGAAGGAAAGTGGACAGTATGTTCACTACTGAACGACACTACACCAAGCATCAGAATATTGTAAGGAGTTGGTATCTTGTCTGTATAAAGGGCTGTAACAACCGATGCAAGTGGAAACAGTCCTCACTTACATGCGCTGGTGCGAGAGCCAGTGTTCATAACATTGACTCAGCTATGTTTAACCAGTATTCAAGGTCAGTATTTTTACAAAAAGTTGTCCTAGTAGGGTATTGATGGCAGTCGCAAAGCTAGAACAGTAGCCAGAAAAGGCAAAATATTATTTCTCTACTGCGCTTGCACAAAATGCAATTATTTTGAGTGCCTCCATATCCTAAAATGTTCACTATGCATCAAACTATAAATGTGCAAAGTTTCATGCATTTATCATTAAACGAACATTTTATCTGCTTAGCCACTCCACTAATTGTCTCTTGGTTGGTTACCATGTTGGAATTTAGGGTAACACAGTGGCTGATTCTTATCTGCGACTAAAAACCGTTTATTAGAAGTTATAGTCTAATGGAAATGAAGTGGTACACGCAAGTTTGCATCAATAGATTAAATGCAATAAAACCCTATATTTTTGCCCCCCGCAATGCGTTTTGCGGGGGGTATTAAAATGGACTCCGTGTGTGCGTCCGTCCGTGCACATTTGTTTTTTCCGGAGCAGAACTCTAAAACCGTTCAATATTTCTTTACCAAACTTGGCACATAGATAGATCTGGTGGTGTACTGGTGCCTTTTGGTAGTTTTGGAATTCTGAATAAAATATTTTTGGCATTTCCATGGCAACAAGTTCGACTTAGAATGAAATTGGTGGTAGTGCTCTTTTTCTGGAGCAGAACTCTAAAACCGTTCACTATTTCTTCACCAAACTTGGCACATAGAAAGATCTGGTGGTGTACTGGTTCCTTTTTGGTAGTTTTGGAATTCTGAATAAAATATTTTTGGCATTTCCATGGCAATAAGTTTGACTAAAACAGAAATTAGTGGTAGTGCTCTTTTCCAGAGCAAAACTCTAAAACCGTTCAATGTTTCTTCACCAAACTAGGCGCATAGATAGATCTGGTGGTGTACTGGTGCCTTTTGTTAGTTTTGGAATTCTGAATAAAATATATTTGGCATTTCCATGGCAACAAGTTTGACAGAGACTGAAATTGGTGGTTGTGCTCCTTTCTGGAGCAGAACTTTAAAAACCTTTCAATACTCTCCTTCCACTTTTCTGTATACACACCTAAAAATTTGACATAATCATAACTCGTAGACATAATCATGAAGAGTATTTTGCCATTGCGGGGGATATCGATGACTTTGTCTCCTTGTTTACACCTACTTGGGCTGTCAGTCTAAATATGAAGAGGTCATCATAAGATGATGCTGTATTGGCAATAGCAATTAGTAAATGGGAGGCTCCTCTGTATTGTATCCCTTGTCATGAGAGAATCAAAGTGAAGCATGTCCTGCTTGACTGTGTCATTTTATTTCCATCATGAGGGATCAATATTTTCTATCATCATCGATGTAGGATATTTTTTAATAGTATCACGTCTTGTTATTGCTTTTGACAGGAAGTAGATTTAATTGATAAATTTTGATGTAATATTACCGGTATATAAATTGTAGGGATGTCATGATACAGTTGCCTGACAATAATAATAACCGGAAGCTGGCAGGGGTAATGGAGGCGAAGAACGATTTGACATGCCATGAGTGGCGCTTAAAATGTTGAATTAAATATATTGTACGTGAGTAATTATTAAATATGAGGTTGGGAATCTGAGAGCACAACTCTATGAGGAAATGGGTCTCTACCTTTGATGATGGCGATATTTTATTTTGATATTAAAAATATTTTTCAAACCGAAGCGAGGGAAGCATGTTGCCAACCTTTGCTCGCTTCGTTCGCATATGGAAAGACTGGTCGTTTTCCCTTTGTTGCACAACCCTATTTGCGCTACAATTTGCCTGTGCTTCAAGTGATAGCTAAATTTGACCACAATCACCAACACCTGAAAGGATGGTGTAAATCCAGATAGAGTCCATGCAGGTACAAAAGTACTGTAAATCCCCATGGTCCCTAGTATGATGATCTACCTTCAGATGTTGGTGATCTGTAGCCTGTTTTTATAATGAAGTGTCTTCACTTGTGACATCATTTTAAATTTACATGCAAGTTTTAAATCACTATATGTAGATTTCAGCTGTCCTCTGTGGTTGGGCTGGATATTGCCCTGATTTTCATATTGCGATATATTGCAATAACTTGAGAGATATTGCAATACATATTGTGATATGCTGACTGGAAGGTTTCTCCCCAAGTGCGTACATAATAAATTCATAATAGCAATCTGAGTGCAACATCATCTTATTAGTTGCTGTTACACCATACTTTCAGGCTCTCCGTCCACATCGTGTATGGCTGTATGCCACTGGTTTACAGATAAATGGCATGATATAGAGCTTTAATGTGAAATATTTAATTGAAGTATTGCAACAAAGGTTTGCGAACATAATGATAAAGGTAATAGTATAACTTGATTTTCATGGTCAGTGTTGTTTGCTTCAACAGAATGGTCTTCAATGCAGGATGCAATTATTGTTACTGCTTGTCAGTGATTCATTCAGTTTCAACTCCAATATAAACATGTGTTAACATGAACTATGGCAAAATGAAACAAAAACATGATTTAGGTGAAATACTTCAGCTTAAAAACTCATGTGACCTCCAGTAACTAAGATCCTTGACTAGAATGTCATTATACAGTCCTGCAAACTTTATGAGACTTAGACCTTTATGATAAATTGATACCATATGTCCCATTATGAAACAAACAAAAATAATGAAATAATTTGAATTGTAAAATGGTCACTCCGAGCCAGAGGCTCTACTAATAAGTCCAAATAAAACATTGGCACATTTGAGGCCACTTAATTCCTCCACAATGTCACATATAAAGCCATTCAAACACACAAAATGTGGTAGAATATTTGGCTCTTTTTGAGCCACTTATAAAGACACTTCTACTTGTAAAGTGTTACATGAAACCAACAGAAACAAGTATATTTGGCTCTTTTAGAAGACATATTGTTGCCCTGGAAGTCAAGGGCATATAATTCAAAGGGGGCTCACTCTGGGTGACCCAATATATTACAGAATCTGAACCATATCGCGATATACTGTACCGGTATATACCGGTGTACCGGTAATATTGCACAGCCCTACTCGGTGGACAGGTATTTGTATTGTATATTTTCATAAGTATATAGCTTTTAATAGTCACGATATAGATGAAATACTTCTGATGTTATTTTAAATTTTACCTCACTCACTCGCAGATGTGTCCTTGGCTTCAGTAACTATAATGTTAATTTTCACTTAAAGCTAATATTATACACTGTTATTTAGAGATTTATAACAGTTTTTTAGCTTTATAATGAAAATAGCAAGTGTCAGAACATTCTTGAGATGCCACAGAAGAGCAAACCATTTGGCTTCTGATGGATACCAAACCGAATGTTTTCAGCTTCCATTTGGCCACTTTAAGTTATAATCACTGGATTGCAGATTTGTAGGGACGTTAAGGGTTTTATAGTTTGTTTAGATGGGATGATTATGTGTCTTAGAAGCAGGACAAAAGACTTTGAATTCCATTCTCAGCCACTGAAAGTATAGTAATGGTAAGCTATCAAACTTTTACATATGTGCATGTTACATTGCAAACAATTTCCCCATTCATGTTCTGTTTGTTTCATGCAGCTCCTGGACCTCCAGCTGGCTTAATTGGTGGCGTTGCAGGTGGAGTTGCTGGTGTACTGATACTTGTGGTGATAGTAGTCGTGGTGATGATTGTTCGGCGCAGAGGAAAAAGAGGTAAAGATAATACGATTATGTGAATGGGTGATCAGACATTCACATCACACAATAAAGATGGTTATTATAACTGACATTAAGTTTGACCAGTTTGTTATGAAAATAATACGGTTGAAAATATGTTTGTTGTTTATTCATTATTGAGATTTTGATGGTTTTACATATTTATGTTAAGAATAGTTTTAATGAAATTTAGTGTCTCATAGTCTGCATGCCATATGAGGATGTTTGGTATTAGAATATCGGCATGTACCCTATGATAAATTAGTATTTTTTCTTCTTCTTTTGTATAAACAATATGCTTTGTTAAAGTTACAGTAACTGCAAATAGATATATCTTTTATCACTACAAAACCATGGATGTGATCACTAACAGCTCAGGCTAATATCACATACTCACATTCATACCTACCCTTTTCTTTCCCTCATACATGAAATCAATTAAAACTTTTAAACATGTAATAATTCTGTCACTGAGAAAATAGAAACTTATACCGATTTAGATAAGTTATTTAGCTAAGCGGGGGATATAGTATTAGGCTCCCTCTGTACGTACGTATGAATTGGAATATCTTAAGAACCGTTCACTAGATTCTTTTCATATTTGGTACCTAGGTTCATCACAGTGTAAGAAAAGCCCACGAGGGGACTTTAACGTTTTACCTGCATGTTAAGTTATCTCAAGAACCGTTCAGTGGATTGTCTTCATATTCAACCCCAAGCTGTATCTAGGGAAGGCACAGGGCCCAGTTAATTTTGGTGACCTTCACTTAATTTTCAAGGTCACAGAGACACTTTGAAGATTTTAGCATGTTAACCCACACGTTATGCTTGTCAGCGAGATACCTCAAGAACCATTCACTGGAGTTTCTTCATATTTGACACCAAGCTTCATCCAGAGAAGGCGCAGGGCCCAGTCGATTTTGGTGACCTTCACTTAATTTTCAAGGTCACAGAGACACTTTGAAGATTTCAGCATGTTAAATTGCATGTTAAGATAGTCAGCAAGATATCGCAAAAAAAAAATCACTGGATTTTCTTCATATTTGACACCAGGCTTCATCTAGGGAAGGCCTAGGGCCCAGTCAATTTTGTTGACCTTCACATAATTTTTAGGGTCACGACGACATGACTAGGATTTCAGCATGTTAACCTGAATTGTCAGCAAGATATTTTAAGAATGGTTCACTGGATTTTCTTCATAGACTTTCAAGACTTCCCTTGAATGTTTTTCAATAAGCAATTTCTTTAGTACTAGTTTTACATATTTCATACACTATGACATTCATGTCAAGGTCAAAGTCAGTCATGAAAATATGAATGTGTTTGAACAGCTAAAGAGCAAGATATCAAGAGGGGTTGACTGGTCATGTTTTTGTTGACATTTAACTTCATATTAAACTTTCATTACTTTATATAAGTTTGATTTGATAATTTGTGGCGGGGGAGTATGTCACCTTAGTGATAATGCTTGTTTTAGTTTCAAAGTGAGACCTGTTGATTCAATGGTACGAATATCCATATATCTGTTAAATGACTTGAAACTAATATGTACATGGCACATGACCACCCTCATTCAGTAATGAAAAAAGGAGTAGATGAGCATGTGCAAGGCAGTCAAACTTCACTGCCTCATATAACCAAACTTCTAAATGCAGCCGTACTCTTATATATTGGATGATTTTAAAGATTTTATGGTGTGAGAATTTATGGATATGCTAAGATAGCTATGGTTTAATTTTAAGTTAGAAGTCCTATCAAGTAAAAATCCTATTGTGATGAACCACAAGGCATCTAAAGGGAGGCACTTACTGCTTATAAACTTTGCTGTCATAAGTTCACAAATGTGTTTTTTTAAGGATATATTGAATATATTATTTCTGATGTATGGATATTAAAAACAGTTTCTGTGTTGTGTGAACAATATGCTGATAAGAATATTAAAACAATAATGGCAAATCAAATGGCATGTGATGTGACACAATCCTTAAATGTATGTCATTTACTTGCATTTCAGGTGAAGATACTGAAAGAATTACGTGAGTGTTTATCAAAAAGAATTTGTAGAAGCTAAAGTTATGAAGAACTTAATTTGTGTTGGAACCATATGGCACTATGGCAAATAAAGAACAAATTGTTTGTTTCAATGAAACCTTATACATATCATCCGTATCACTCATGTCTCAGATTGACATTTAGTATAAGCTGAAAGTCATTTTTAAAGTGTATATCCCATTTCAATTAAATGCCTTTTTCAGAAAATATGTTTTAATTCTTGATTATGCATGGAGCATTATGATTATTAATTTATGTTCTCAAAGTGGTCTCATACATCCAGAGTGGTTGTAAATATATTTTAAGGTTAGAGAAATAGAACTTTGTGAAGGAATAGACCAGTAAAACGCCCTTTACAATTATGCCTCAGAAATATTTGTAAGTATTCTGAAGGTGATCACGGTATGCCCGACTGCCATGTATCAATGTTTAGAGTTAGTGAGTGAGTTTAGTTTTATGCCGCACTCAGCAATATTCCAGCTATATGGCGGCGGTCTGTAAATAATAAAGTCTGGACCACACAGTCCAGTGATCAACATCATGAGCATTGATCTGCGCAATTGGGAACCAAGCTAGCAAGCCTGACCACCCGATCCCGTTAGTCACCTCTTACGACAAGCACGGGTTACTAAAGATCCATTCTAACCCGGACCTTCACTGGTCACAATGTTCAGAAACGTCTTGATTGTTACTCATGATAAATTGTAAGCTGGCATACATCTTGTCGACTGAAATATGGATGTGCTTTATCTAAATCATTGTACTTTTCTTACAGGTCGAAAGGCAGGGGAAAGGATACAAACGACAAATTAGGTATTCCTTTGTCTCTTTCATTTCTCTCAAATCCACGTAAAGTACTTCTCAAAGTTTGGTAAGGATCTGGATTTGTTAAAAAAGTCAAGCCATCTAACTTATGAAGGACAACCACTAATGGGTAACAATAAGACCGTAATCTCATGGTGAACTGACAAAGGTATGCAGTCGTGTTCGCAATGAATGAATGCACTTTTGCCCCTTCAGCACTATTTGACCACTAAAGAATTAGGCAGACAATTTGATCAGCTGCCCAGCAGGTGGATTGACAGCATTCCACCAGCCCAGGGGAAGACAAGTTTCTACTGAAGCAAGAGCACCATCACTTTGAGAGTGCTACCACTCTCAGAAATGACCTGCAGAATGTGACAGTAAGATCTGTACTAAGCATAGGTATAGGAACAACATATACTAGTAGATGAGTTCACCTATTGGATTGAAATCCTAACTGGATTCCATGATATACCAACTTTGATCTACCCAAAACCTTCAGGGGATGGAGATTGATGATATGCTTGTTTGGTGGTTGTCAACGTGGTAGTAAACAATCGAATGAATACGAGTCAGTAGACATTAATATTCATCAGTATTCTGTAGTAGGAATAAAGCTGAAAACCTCTATTTTGTCTATTTTACGTTTGTTGTACGAATATGCAATACATGCAAGTCAATAAAGGCTATGACAAACTATGAAAAACTAAAAAATACTTTTTATTCTTTTGTCAAATATTCCTTTTCCAAAAAATGACTTTTTTTTTCGAGGACTTTTTTCTGCACGGCTGTCACTCATAAGGTTTGTCACCCATCTTGCAATACTTTGGGATGAAACCATAATCCGGACTACTCTCTGAGTCCCAGCAAAATTGTTCTCAATTTATCATTTAATCTTGCTCTCTATTCTGGACTCTCTTGTAACTCATCATGGCAGTGTCTACGGTAAAGGACGAAAGTTGGAGATGACTAATCCAGACTGCTTTATTATCCGGACAAATGGGTTGGTCCCAGACCAGTCCGTAATAGACAGATTCCACTGTACATTCTATTTCAGTGCCCGCATTAACACTCTCTATAGTGGGATGAAATCTGTACTGTGAGTGAAAAAGTCAAAGACTGCACAGTGGTTGACAGGAGACTAAACAATGATCTTTCTAAGATACAGGTTATGGTGGTGATCCTTGGCAAAACTTTGAGTTGTCTAATTTCCTTGTTTCTTTTAGGCATATGACAAAAAAATTTCATCCATCGCCTATGTCCGAGGACGAGTAACAAGTGATAATGCACACAAGTATGGACATACAGGGGTTTTTTATTTCCAGAAGTAAAAACTAAACCTCAGGGCTGAGATTGTTTGTCAGTAAATACATCGTGAAAAAATGCAAGTTAATAAACCTATACAGTAAAAAAAAAAGCATTTTAGTGTGTATCTGGTTTTAAAATGTTGGATAGTTAGCAATTTAGTACTCATCATTAAGCTTGATTGGTTTGGTTGGCTGCTTGTTTAACACTACACTCAAACACTCTGTAAATAAAGACAATCCAGTGATCAATAGCATGAGCATTAATCTACGCAGCTGGGATATGATGACATGTCATCCAAGTCAGCGAGCCTGACCACCCGATCCTGTTAGTTGCCTCTACGACAAGCATGGGTTACAGAAGATCAATTCAAATCCAGATTGTCTTGGGTCTCATCATTAAGCACTTTTGATGGTCACTTGGCATTGCACTCTCCTTTATCTATCTGCTTCCTTTAACACATGGTGTTATATGTTATGTAAACACATTTATAAAATACAAAATCAAAACAGAAACCATTGTTGTATGTACATTTATTCTTCGTGTAGCCAGATATAAGAAACATTTGTAAAAATACCAACATGATGAAAGGTAATGTGATATGAGGAAATAGTAACATCGATAGATCTATTTTGATCTGGATTGACACTTCATGTGACAGAATATCATGTCACTACCAAGTATTCGGCATATTTATTGATTGTCACAAATGCAATGTTTCCCTGTTATCTTTTGCTGCTATTAGACAAAGCTTTCATTGAATGCATGTAGTGTCACCGAGTTGTAGGACAGCACGGTATAACGGCTATGCTGGTATATTGCGATATGCTTTGGAAGCATAAAATCCCAGCACTGTCTTATCTGGTGCATGGCGAGGAGTCGGACGGATGTGTATTGTCACCAATTAATCCTGCATTGAAACTACATGGTTGCTGACAAAGATAATTTAATCTTAGTTCAATATGGGTATACTTTTACATGTAACTAGTGAAAATTGTCACTCATGAGGGATGTTAAGTCTTTGTCTTTTATTGTCAATGTGTGCAGTAGATGAGAGAACCATGTGTCAGTTCTAGTCATAGGTCACCTTGTCAGCTCTACAATCCGGCACGCTGTTAATTAAACCGGATTATTTCTTCAGTCCCAACGAGTGCCAGTTTAGACAGCCTGCATTGTACAATTTATTTTCCAATATACAGCCATACGGAATAGTGGAAGCCATTATTATTGTCAATCAATGAAGTCATATCATTGATGTTTGCCACTATTTGAAGCAATAATAGCTGTTCATGAAAGGAACATTTTGTGAACAGTGTGTATTATTATAATTCACTTGCTTCTGAATGATAAGTATATTTAGGCTTCTGTTCAGAAACTTCCAGCTACTTTATTTATACTCAGAGCTACCCTCAGTAACAGACAATTACCGGTACATGAATCTTAATTTTCAGAGAAAGCAGGGACCAATGGTTTATAATCATTTACACCTATATTTATTGCAGAAATGGAGAATGACATATATGAATCAGCTGAAAGGGCAGGTAACTATGTGCAGGCAGTTTCAGTACCAATAACTTATGATTCATGTTGCAATCAGTTACTCTTTTTAATTTTTCCTTATCCCGACTCATGCTCTTTTTGCTTGTCTTCTTCTTCTTCTTGCGAATATAGTGGAACACTTGTATCTCACTAATTGAAGCTCCCTTCAATGTAAAATCACTAATTAGTACTCACCAAGAGTTGCCTCCCTCTAGCCAAATGCGCGGGAACGCAGGCACCACCTCTCCCCAGCACATGCTTCACTCTCTCCTTCGCCCAGTGAGCAGGATGTGAGAGCGCCTGTGTCTCCCTACACTTTATATCCTTTGATTATTTTTAGTTAGTTACCTCTTATAGTCATCTATAGAGGTTTAGCTAGTATCTTTTCAACATTATGTATTGATATTTATTCGTGTTTCTACTGTTTATTCAAGGGACGCCGTGATTGTTCAGTAGATTACGTTGATGAAAATCTGTACTGTTTGCAGGTTACGTTTTTCTGCTGCTGATCCGCATTTAATATGCCCTAGCTGTACTGCGCCATGTTCATTTTCTTCACGTTGCAGTTGCTGTACTAATTTATCCAATTCTGCCTTTAATAAATATTTACATTGCGTTTTGAGACGCGCAGCAGATAGGTCACGTAAGCAGAGTTTAGCCATGGCTGATACACCTGAACCCCTCTCCAGTCAACTGCTGTCGGACGACCCCCTCCCGTCTGGTGTTCCGCTAGAGTTACCCTCGGAGGAGAGGCGTGGGACGCAGTCCCGCCGCAGAATTGGGCCTGTATGATGATCAACCGATCATCATACCTGATGTACATCGGAAGAAACAACCAGTGTCAGCAACAGTGACATCAGCGCAGATCAGCACGCAGCCTGATGTACCAACGCCGATGTCCGATGATCTTCCTGAGGGTCCCGTCGCTACCAACGCAGAGAGGGCAGCAACTACTTCATCGCAGACGGTCCCAGACGACCTGATGCGTCAGATCATGAAGGTGATGGAAGACCGCTTATCAAAGGCTCCAACGTAGACAGCACATCAGAGGGACCCCCTGTCAGCGAAGCTACTACTACGAAGCCACCTTCGCGAAGGTCGTCACAGCCCACCTCCACGAAGGACCCAGATATTCAGGATTCGCGAAGGCCTTCGCGAAGGGCAACTAGATCGCCACCCACCTCAGACTCCGATGATCAACGCTCGCGAGGATGTTCGCGAAAGGAAGATTCTCTCATCCCCAGACTCGGACTCGAAGGCCTTTGCGAAGGTCAAGTCGTCACTCCCCAGGACCGGACTCAGATGAAGCTTCGCGAAGGTCTTCGCGAAGGGCACCAGTTACAGGCTCCAAGTCATCTTTGTCTAGAAGGTCATCGAGGGATTCACCGAGAGCTTCGCGAAGCTATCAACGTTCACCACATAGATCTCCGCGAAGGTCACCATACAGATGCAGCTCGTCAGGACGTTCTCCACGTCAATCTCCTCGCGGTCTCCACGTCGATCTCCTCGTCGTTCACCTCGTCGATCTACTCTCAGATCACCACGTCGTTCGTCTCACAAGTCTTCACGGAAATCCCCAGACAGGTCTCCGTTGACGTTACCCTGCAGAGCTGTAGAAGTATACAGGACTCCACCTCAGTCACCATCGGAAGAGCACCAACATCTTATCTGCGATCCCTTTACAGAAGATGATGGAGGTATCATATTTTCCAACGCAGAAATACGCTACTGGATGGTTAACAACCTGGACCTATCTTTACCTTCCAAGAACGAGAACACGGCCCACACCTATCTCATGAGAGAGGACGATGCAGATACAATCACCTTGCCTCCGATCGACCCGATAGGAGTGGTCCCTAAGAATCTGGATGCAGCCTTCCATAAAGCCACTAAAGCCCAGACGCCTCACTTGCCTCAGTTCAACGCCAAAAAGTTTTCAGCCCATAATATGCACCCATTTTTCAAGGCACAAGAAATCGACGATAACTTCAACGATGCCAAGTCTAAGATGTACAAGATAGACGACCGCAAGCTAGTTCAGATGGAAACCATGACAAGAAGAATGTTCTTTGGCCTTAACAGATCAAGAACGGTTAATGAAACTCTCATCACCAGATTCCGAGATTCTACATCAGAAGACGACAGAATGATATACTCGGCCCTCCTCATGCAGAAGAAGGACCAGCAGTTTTTAACGGATCATCTTACATCAGTCTCCGCAGCGATAACTATGGCTCGTCGTCAAGGTCTCCTCGCCTCCTGTAATTGGGGTGAACAGTTTACTTCTTCACTCTATACAGCCCCGTGGTCAACGTCATCAATCTTCGATGGAGGGATAGATAAAGTATCTAAGAAAGTCACTAAGGACTCAAGGGAAGTCCTTATGATAAAGTCGATGGATACGCTAGCTAGCGTCATCAGGCAGACATCGCAGAGATATTCAGGAAGATCAAAGTTCACCGGCCTACAGAGAGCACGGGACAGGAAGATGGCAAGCTCAAGAGGAGGAAAAGAATCTTTTCGTCGCCCATACAGCAATTACAGGGGAGGATCTGGAAGAGGCAGGGCACCCAGAGGCTCCCGCAATTATAAACGATGAAAGACAGGTTCGGAACGACTGGAGTCTTCCACCCCCAGCCGTTCCAGTACAACCATCACAAGTGGGTGGACGCCTTCAACTGCACTGGGAGAACTGGGGAATTCTAGAGGATCCGTATGTCTCCAACATCCTACAACATGGATATCGAATCCAACTACAGGCCACGCCTCCGCTTACAGTCAACCCTCTAAGGTTCGACTTCCAGGCTCAACAACTACCAAAGTTACGAGAAGCTGTGTCATCACTCCTAACCAAGCAGGCCATAGAAGTACTGGATCAAGTAAACATCGAACCAGGCTTCTACTCCCCAGTTTTCCTAGTGCCCAAGAAAAACTCCAAGGAAAAGTTTCGACTCATCTACAACATGAGCACGTTCAACAGAGATTATCTACGCAAACCACCAACGTTTCGCATGATACATCTACCTCAACTACGGCACCTAGTTCGTCCCATGGACTACATGGCCAGTATAGATCTGCAGGACGCTTATCTACATATCCCGATACATCCCGACTCGAGGAAATACCTATGGTTTACACTAGACGGGTTGCATTACCAATGGAGAGTACTGCTATTTGGAATCTCATCGGCCCCTGGTTGTTCACAAGAGTAACGAAACCTATCATCACTTACCTACATCGCCTAGGGCTACGCAGTGCGTTTTACCTCGACAACGGGATACAAGTGGATCAAGATCCACAGAGTCTCAAACTACAGTTAAACTTCATCATCAAGCTACTAACACAGCTAGGATGGTTAGTAAATCTACTCAAGTCGACCTAGAACCTACGCAAGATCTGCAATTTCTAGGCATTTGATTTCTCACAACACAGAATCGTATGGTCGTACCTGAGGACCGATGGCTCAAGATCCAACAGACCATCCCACAAGCCTTACTCTCTCCGCTACCACTACGACAATGGCAGAGTCTGTTGGGTCTCCTCACGTCAGCTCAAGACATGACAGTCAGAGGCAGACTACAGTTACGTCCGTTACAGGTCCTCATCAACGCTCATCTCGACGACCTACAACCATTCAGTCTACCGGTATGTCAGACCCCATCTACTATGGTGGACCAAGAGGTCGAATGTCTGCGAAGGCATTATTTAACAGAGCCGGAATTCAAAACCCATCTCTATGTAGACGCAGTCGCTCCAAGATTGGGGAGCTCATCTCTCCAACCGGACGGCATCAGGGTTATGGAATCAGCAAGAGAGCAAACTGCACATAAACATGCTAGAAATGCAAGCAGTAATCTACGCCCTACTACATTGGAGCAACATTCTACAGAATGCGCATCTAATGATTCACACAGACAACTCAACAGTGGCGTTTTATGTAAACAAACAAGGCTCAACGAGATCATTGAACCTATTGACTCTATGTTTTCAACTGTTCAATCTAATCGACGATCTCAACATACATGTCAGAGCATGTCACATTCCCGGAGCCAAGAATGTTCTAGCAGACGCACTCTCTCGGCCACATCTACCGTCACCGACAGAATGGATGCTCCATACAGAGATATTTGCACAAATTATCAAGGAAATAGGAGCTCCGCTAGTAGACCTATTCGCCACTCGCTTCAACAATCAGCTAACAACATTCGTATCACCAGTCCCGGATCCACAAGCATGGGCAACGGACGCACTAAGCATATCCTGGGAAGGCCTCAACGCGTACGCGTTTCCGCCGCCAGCGTTAATCCCAAAGGTGTTACAGTAAATTAAGCAAACTCGGAGCCTCCAACTGATTTTGGTCGCGCCCTACTGGCCAGGGAGAACGTGGTTTCCAATTCTAATTCAAGAAATCGGACAACCAATACTACAACTACCAAAGCGCTCGAATCTACTAGTACATCCTCACACCAAACAAGCGCACGGAAATCCAGAAGCATTCCAACTTCACGTATGGACTGTATTAAAGTGTGTCTAAACAAGAGAGGTTATTCAGCCAGAGCGGCGAAAGCAGTCACGCTTGCTTTACGCAATTCTACGCGCAACTTGTATGATGACAAGTGGCACAGTTTTGAAACATACGCTGCTAAAAAGGGATTTACAGCTAGAAACGCTACACATCCACAAGTGGCTGACTACCTATGTTACCTACGACAGACTAAATGTCTAAAAGGCTCAACATTGTCAACATATCTCGCAGCTTTAAGTTCTGTGATAACTATGAGAACAGGTGTCAAGTTAACCAAAACACCAGAGTTACTGGCCTTGCTACGTTCATTCCGATTGGAGGATCAGAAACAAAGATTTTGCGCTCCAGCATGGGATCTAAATATAGTGCACCAACACCTCACAAGTGAGGCATATAAACCACTGGAATCAACATCATTTGAATTTCTGACACAGAAAACATTGTTCCTGTTATCTCTAGCAACGGCAGCCAGGATGT